ATGGGAGAGAACAGCATATTGTATTAGACTAGACAAGATGACATTAGCTCTACAACAAGTCAAGGGAGAGGATGGAAGTGTGGTAAAAAATAAAAATCAGAATGGCAGGCAATGTTTAAGAAAAAGCTACAGTAGGAGGGAGAAATGGTGTGTTCGGGGTGGCATCTGAGAGGAAAGGGCTCAGCATCTGGCACATGTGAAATACCTCTAGGTAGGATGTGAGGAGGATGGGAGTTCTTATAAATTTACTAAGAGAGATGCTATTCCCCCCACATCAGGAAACATGATTATAAGTAATAATGATAACAATAGTTTCTATCTATTGAGTCTGTTGTATGGGCCAGGCTCTATGTTAACGTCGAGGTAACTCATTTAATCCTCATAATAATTCTGTGAGGTTGGTACAGTCCTTATTCTCACTTTACAGATGAGAAAATTAAGACTGAGAGAAACTATCTAATCCAAAATTACACTCCCATAAATGGCAGAGTTATGACACAAAGCTACTTTTATCTTTCTAAGCCTGACTTCTGAAATGATACAAAATTCTGCATTTTAGAATTATTTTTTTTGTATCACAACCCAAATTTCAATAGTATTTACATTTGAGTTGAATATGTTTGGTGCCTTAACCAATACTTTTCAAAAAAATTGCTGAATCCAAGTGTACGTAGCACAGCAAACAAAAATATGTATGCAGGGAAGTGAAACTAGTTGATTTCTGCAGAAACTGTTTTTACCAACAGTGACTACAGGATTGTCCCTGCCCTGTCACTGAACTACAGGTAAGTGACAATTAGTCCTCACATCAGTACAGTCCTTTCAGGTGCAAAACTAGTGCTTCACAACGGTTTGTGTCTCTGAAGCAGTGTCTTCCACTCCGTGTCATCAATAATAATGAGGGATATGACAAACACGCTCCCATATGTCATGTGTCCATCAGCATCTTCTATGTCCCTCGACACTTCCAGCAGCAGAGAACTCTTCATTTTGATCCAGTGAAATCTAAATCGTCTCATGAGTAAGTCTGTGGCAGTATGTTTATAAAAACCTTTTACGGGACCATAAAATACCTAGGTGGCCTTAGAGCAATTGGCCTAAGAAATGAGAACAAACTGTTTAGCACTGAGCTAAACAAGTTGAGCAAATTATTCCTCTTAGCTAGAGCACCTCTGACTTCCTTATTGGACTAAATGCTTTTGACAAAAGACAACAATGTCTTAATTGCATGTTCCTCTCTACATAACGTGGATAATTTAAGAGTCACATCGTCAGCCAGGAACAAGCTGCAGTGTAGAGAGCAAAGCGTTCTAGACATGTTGGTACTATATGTGCTCAAGAACATAGCCGTTTACAACCCAGAGGAACTTTACTGCTAATGATCTTTGAAGTTAACAAGGTCTGTGAAAGCTTCTCAGCATTATTATTACTATTTATGTTAATAATGTTAGTGATCTCCCTTATTATTCCGAGACTTAGCACTTCTAATTGGCATCACTATAAACAGAGGTATTAATGGTATCACACAATGCAGGCAGAGCCAACTCTGGCAGCTTTGTGGGTTTAATATGGAAATGTTTGCTATCTAATGAGGACACAAAATGTTAATCTGCAGAACAAATTGTATTTATAGAGAAACTAATTATCATATGCAAATGAGACACACATCACTCGCAAAATTCTTGTTGCCTCTGGGCCAGCCCTCTGACCTTTCTGAAGTGCAGTGCTTGGGAGCAGCAGCTAATGGTTTCATGTATTGAAGCTGATTGCTTTCATTTTCATACAGAAATGAGCTAAATGGGACCGGCTCTGGCTCCGAAAAAACACAACAGAGCCATCACTTCTGAAGCCAGACTGTACCCTGTGCTCTATTGATTTCTTACCCTTTCTTTTAAAACTCAGAATTCTTCTGCAGTTTTTTTTCAATATCTGAAAAACCAGATGTTAGATAATCAAAGTAAAGAATGTTTAATCCCATCAATAAAAGAATTAAGACATTTTATAAATATGATCCTACTGTTCAAAGGGCATTTTGATATTATTTTCATAATTTTTTTTTTCTTTTTTTCTTCTTCATTGATAAGAAGCTAAGTACATGGCACGGATAGTTGAATCTAGTGAATATGTTAACTCTTTTTTTTGGTACTTTTTCCTCTTTTCTTTCACATACATATGTTCTCTAGTTTAAAGCCTCATTGAAGTATAAAATGCTAGAACTTAAATGGCCTTTGAGATCACCCAGTATGTTCCAATATTTCATTCACCGATGAAGAAAGTATGGCTCAGAGAGGTCGTGACATACCCAAGATCACACAGTGAGTTCATAGAATACAATAAAAGTCAGGTGCTCTTTCTAGGTGCTTAAAAAATAAAAAAATAAACCATCTTTACTTCAGTGATGCTAAGTTTAGAGTTATGTGAATGCTTAACAGCTTTTATAACTTTATATGAAGGTGCCAGCCAGACCACCTTGGCTGGCTTATGTTGGACATGTAGTTCTCCTAATTCTCATACGGACATTGAAGATCTGACCCAGCATTCTCCAAATGCTTACTGGGCTCCAAGAATGGAAAAGTGAAGGAAGAGTGACTCTGCTATCATGGAAACCAGTTTGCCGTGGGACACTAGCATACAGACAATTTCAGTGAAACAAGGAAAGTGCATTATCAAAATATGCTTGAGGCATAGGAGAACACACAGGAGACACAAGGACTTCTTGAGGAGGATGCCATATTCATTTATATTGCTATGAAACAAATCACCTCAAATTTAGTGGCTTAAAAAACATACATTTATTATTTCTACAGTTCAGGAGTCCCTGCATGTCTCAGATGGGTCCTCAGCTCAGGGTCTCATAAGGATGCAGTCAAGGTATAGGTCAAGCTTTGTTCCTTTCTGAACTTCAGCCATCTCACTAAGCTTACCTGGTTGGTGGTAGAAATCAGTCCTTTACGTAGGACTGAAGGTTTGCTTTCTTGCTGGCTGTCACTGGGGGCTGGTCTCAGCTCCTGGAGCACTCCCCTACCCCTACCCCCACCCAGACACACAAATTCTCTGCCATGTGGCAGCTTACTTTTTCAAGGTCAGTAGGAGAATCACTCTCTTAAGGATGGCCTAGTCCCTTTTTTAAGAGCTCTTACTGATCAGGCCTACCTAGGATAATCTCCCTCTTGAATAACCCCAAATTATCTGATTTGGGACCTTAATTACATCTGTAAAATCTCTTCCCCTTTGCCGAGTTGTATAACCTAATTACCAGAATGAAATCCCACCATACTCAGAGGTCCCACAATACTCAAGGTGAAAAGATCATACATGGTGTGTATATCAGAAGGGTAAAAATTTTGGAACCCATCTTAGAATTCTGCCTTCCTCAAGTAGAGAGGAGTACAGTTAGAACAGATTTCAGAAGGTGCAAACTGAATCATAAAAGACAAATAGAGGTCGATATCCAAAATGATTAGTTATAATTTTATAATTTTTTTGAAATTTTCAAGAGGCCTGTGTCACAAGATATAATTTTATTTATTTTAGTTAGATTTGTGTTGAACACAAAGAAAAAAAGGAATGAAATGGAAAATTCACTGAGAGTGAAAAACAGTGGGGGAAAAAAAAGCTTTGTTAGAATGAGTGAACGAATGAAAAATGAAGAGCCCTAGATTGGACCTTAGAAAGCAAGATGTTTAATCTATATGTTTAATCTCCATGTTTTCATTTGAAAATATGGTGATTATTTGCAATAGGTGAGAGGCAAAGGAGTAATATTTCTGACATACAAAAATTTATAAAGTAAAAAAGAAAAATGACTATAAAAATGAGCTAAACATTGGAACCAACAATTGAGAAAAGAAAAAAACAAATGATTTACGGCTTATTAAAGTGCTCAAATTCATTTGTAATTAACGAATAATGATAATAGTTGAAAATTGAAATATTTCAAGAATGTGGAAGCATTATTCCACTTCCTTTATGTGTATCCTCTCATATAACACGCAACCCTACAGAATAGGTCCTATTTGGGGCTCTATTTTATAGATACAGAGAGGTTAAGTTAGTGGCCAAAGGTCACAAGTAGCAAGTGACAGACCCCTCCAGTCCCACCCAGGTAATCTGGCTGTACAATATCCACCTTGCTTCCTGGCCTTGAAGGCACAGTGAGAAGTCAATAATGGTTTGGCAGGACTTGTTGAAATAATATTTAGTGTCATGAGGGTTTGGGAAAATAAGTACTCCCTTACACAGCTGATGAAAATGGAAACAAATCGTTCTGCAGAGGTTTTAACAGTATGTATATAAAATCCCTTAAAAAGTACATAGTCTTTAATGTAACATTTTTTCACTTTCTTTTATCCCAGTGAAGACAGTATGTATGTATAAACATTTAGCTCTAAGAATATCTGTCAAGTTATTCATAATAGCAAAAAAAAAAAAAATTATTTTTAAATGGAAGAACAAAACAGAGATTACATCAATTATTTTGAATTTATTCAATGGAACACTATGCAAATGTTATGGCTGTATTTTATATTTTAGAATATTAACAGGAAAAACTGAACTGCACGTTAGAAATCAAAAGCAGGTGACATAATATCACATTAAAAAAAAAAAATCTTTATATGTGAGTACCAAAGAAAAGGGAGGAGGGTGGCCTGGAAGTATATTTGCCAAACTATTAGATGTGATATATTTGCAATGTGGTCAAATTTCGGGTGATTCATATATTTTTAAATGTTTATTTTGAGTACCTTTTATTCAATAAGCATTATATACTAAAAAAAATAATGTAAGATTTGATTAAATGCTCGTTAAAAGTCCTGTCATAATACAGTCTAGGTGTAAATTGTTTTGTATACGCAGTCAATCTCAGATTGTGACATCTACATTGAACTCAAAGTTTCGTGAACCATTTTCTGTCCTTGGCTCAATTACGAACTAACTTCAGAAAGTTAGAATTTGAAGACATCATGGAAATCAAATGATCCAACACCTTTGTTTTACAGATGAGAATGAGATGGCCACATGGAAGATGCCACGCCCAAGATTGACAGCCCATGTGGGGCAACACAGGACTGGAAGGCGGGTTACTTGTTGGTACCAGTTTCCTTTCACTATACTGTCTTTCTAGGTTTACATGTCTTCAGTTGCAAAAGTGGATGCATGGATCGGCAATTTCTCAGGTCAGAGTGTGTTAGTCATAAACATAGGATTCGGGGTCAAATAGCCTATGTTCAATGCCAACTCCTCTATTTCTGAGAAACCTCAAACAAAAGAATCAACTTTTTTGAGGTTCATTTTTTCTAAACTGCAATTTAATGACTATAATAATATCCATTTCTTTGGCTACAGTGAAGTTTTAAAAATATACTTGTGTATTTTAAATGTTTGGCATAATACCTGATTTCCTTATGTCTCAAACACAAGCTATCATCATTTTATTTTGTATCTTCGGGCAGGGAACCCTATACTGACCCTAGTGCTGCCTTGTCCTCTGTGAGGAAAGTAACTGGGATGATGGTTGGCTGCCATCACCACGGTCCCATTTCCCCATCTTTGCCGATAGTTAAAAGCCTCACATATCTTTCTGAGGAAGGAGGCGTTACTTTTTGTCTATTGCCTGCCCTCTGTGGAAATCACTTTTGCACCAGCACCATAGTAATAAGCCATCCAGAGTTACAAGAGAGGAACATAATTTATGAGCTGAAGAAAGTCAGCTCCTCATGTAAATAAGTAATAAGGTTGGGTAGCAAAACAATCACTGAAGTTGGCTACACCAGAGGACACAATTGATTTTGGGGTCATTGCATGTGGGACCTGTGCAGGTGAATGCATAGATGAGGATCCCACACACACACACAGACCTTCACCCACACGTCACTCCTGGCTGGTGCAAGATCACAGAAGTAACCGATGGTCAGAGTTAGGATTATAGCGGGGATGGGAAGAGAAGACAACAGAACAAAACTGACAGGACACCGATTGGTGGGAGAAAGCCCTGCCCTGCGGTTCTGGTTCTGCCCCTGCTATCATTTTGCTCTGTTGTATGCCCTTGGGCAAGTCTTGTAACTTCTCTAAAATTTAGGAATTGGGCCAGATGTTGGGAAAGTATTTTTCAAGTCTGACACCTTATGAAGATGAGATTCAGGGTCCAGAGCCCCGTCCTAGGGAACTTAGGTTGTACACAGTCAAATTAGAAGGTAAAATCTCAGTTTCTATGGAAATGATGAAGCTGACTCAGAGAGAAAAGTTCCATTACGCAATTGCCCAACCTTTCCTGGCCTGTAATCCAAATCTGTGTTTCCACCACGGAGAAGCCAGTAGAGTTTATCGGGAATCTTGGACTCTTTAATCCCATTAGCAACCTGCCTAAGGATTTGGCCTCATTCACCCATTGCTCTCTTTCCAATATTTAAATGCAATTAGGTTACATTTGGTTGAATATTGAGAAGCTATTTTAAAATGGTGATAAAAAGAACTCATCACATTTGGCTAAGCCAAGTTGCAAGTATTCCAGCTGTTCATTTGTATCTCTTATTGGTGTTTAGAGAAGCTATGGGCTCACATAGCCCCTGCAATGCAATCTCTGACATGAGAGGAAGGAAAACATTGCTTTCCCCATCCATGCAGGCCATTATTACCTGGTGGTGACTTCCAGAAGATTCAGTCTATTGGAGCAATTCCATATATAATTTTAATGTGCCACAAAAATGCCGTTTTCCGTTCTTATTTCAAGTTTATGATAAGTTGACACCTAAACACTTTCTTTTCTTATCTTTCAAATGGCAGAGAGAATTTATCAATAACACTCATTCCTTTAGCCCTCAGAAAATAGTTACAAATATACCACCACTGAATGGCAACAAGCTTTTAATAGATTCATAGTGACTTATGACCTTCTACTTGGCTACAGAAATAAAAAGATCTGTTTTCACATATTATGGAGCAGAGCAAAAAAGAAAATGAGGAACTATCTGAGAAATACTGCTGAAAATGCCAAAATAAAAGCTAAATTATGTCAAGATGCTAGCTATTTTTTGGTCCAAAATTACAAAGATTCTAGAGAAAAAGGCATCAACAAATGCCATCCTCTCCAGGTGAGGGAAAGCAGAGAAGCCAGGTCTTCAGTCTCGCTTAGCCATCTAAATGTCTAATTAAATAAAACAATTAGAGGTTGGCTTCTGTCCTGCAAGTTATTCCCCCACTGATGAAATCCTAAAGAATGGCAAGGAACCAAAATTGCTCTGGTGACTTCTTGTTTAACTCAGCCATTTAAGTGTTCATCAGGTGTTAAATTTAAATGTGTGTAAAAATTATTACCAAAAAAAAATCAGGGGAAAAGTGTGAATATGCATATACAGGGCCTACATATAGGTCAAGGGAGAAATAGCTTTGGAGATATTTAGAGATTTAGCTTTTAGCAAAAGTCATTTTTCTTTCTCCAGTAAGCTTGTGAGCTTTTAATAGCCACTTTCTTTGATTGCCTTCTAGATCATCGTCTGCTGCCAAGTGCCCCCGTGCACAGATGCTGGGTCTTGACGGAGAAGGAAGATTTGAGAGGATTCTTACACCAGAATTCTGAAAGCTTTCCCAGACTGAATTGACCATGTCACTCTCTGAAATTATGTAATACACTAAAGCCTCAAGCTCAGATTTCAAGAACCATTCTTTTTAGTTTCAAATATTTTTATATTCTTAGTAAGAAGACATTTGGAAAAATGCCCTCCCCAGAGTTCCTTATGTTTCTGAAAATATTGTGATCACCTTGCAATAAAAATATTTTAGAAATATCATGATATCACCTAGAGAGTGAATTTTAAAATAATTTATTATCTTAAGAGTGAATGATACTTACTGCTCTTTATTTTCTGATTAGTATTGTTTTTGGTAGAAATTATTGACACTTATTTTTTTTTTAACAGCTAATTATATAGTTGAACTAGATTTTGTAGAGTGGAGAAAATTAGGCATAGTATTCATTTTAACAGAAAACCAACTGATAAGGAGGCAGAGGACATATCCAAGATGAAAGACTCAGGTGAGTGAATACAGATGCCCAACATTTCCTCTCCCAGTTCCTCCCCAAGGCACACAGCTTACCTCATTATTGACCAAGTTAGAAGCCTGGATCTATAGATTTGCTGTCATTTATGCCATTTAGCCTGCCCATGAACTTCCCACCACTCCACACAGCACTCAGAAGCATATCCTATATCAAATAGAGCCTTTCTGATGTACCACTGTTACATACTAACCTTGCTTTATTTTTCACTAAGACATTGGGTCTAAAGGAGATTTTTATTAGGCAGTCTGAGCGACACCAACCACTGTGGTGAACTGATAATAATGACCTTTGAAGGGTGCACTGTTCTTCCTTTTGAAAAACTTGTCTATATTATTTTTCCATAACCACTTGCATAGTAGAAGTAGTTAACAATTCTGAAAAGGAAGTCGATATCATGGTGTACACCTTAAATGCCAGATTTACTGAATACCCAGCACTCGAACAGATATTGAGTTTTCTTCCAAAGTATATTGAAGACACAGACTTTACCTTGAGTAGAGTTGGGAAAAGGAGAATCATCAAAACCTTAATGAGAATGCAACATTACAAATTAATGCTCCCATTTTCATTTAGCATATAGTATGTGTCAGGTACTGAGCTGAGTATTTTACATATATGATTTCTAGTTTCTTTAGCATTTCTTCACAGCAAGTTATAAAGGCCACTTTATAGATGAGACATTATGTTCTAAGAGATTGTGATTTCTCAAATATCACACAGAAGTGCTACAATATTTAATTCAAAGCTGATATATATTTCACTACATCACATTGTCTCTAAACAGACTTTCGTGCATGAGGTTAAGACGGGGTGGGGGAATTCAGTGCACGTCACTGCACATACCTGAGGCTATGTTTATGTAGTTATCAAAATTCAGAAAAATATGATACTTGATTCCTTGCTTACATGAGATATGGAGCCAAGCTTGTTTCATTTTTTCCTGCCCCAATTTCTTTTCAATGTTTTTCATTTTCAAAATGGAATTACACCCAGGTTGTTGTTATTATTGAAAGTTGTATATTCATTATATTTTCTTTCAAGAAACAGGTATAAATTTGCATGTAAATATATATGTTGAATTTTTAATATTTAGATTTCATACATTGTTTGGCTTCTTTTAAACTTTTCTAGTCATTGATAATATAGTTCAATAATAGTACCAAAGACAATAATGTAAAATTTAGGGCAAGCAATGAGCTTTTTGTATATATTTAGTTTGTCATGAATTATATCAATAAGACACATAATCAAGTAGATTTTTTGAACTGAGATATAGGTGATTGGGGCAAGAATTTACAAATCCCAGAAAAGAAGTCTGTGGTCATTGTTCACAAAATAATCTGGTGCATATACCAACAGTATTATGTTTAAAAGGTCATGAGTTATTAATGCTCGGGCTATACCTCCAGAAATACACTAAGAGTTTAGGTCACCTCTACCTGGACTAGTGCCCATTGCCCTTTGAAGCAGGCCAACTCTGTATTCCATTGCATATGTATGAATGAAAATATATATAATAGACCTCTGTCAGAATTTTGGTAAGCACCTCCCATGCAAGGTGGGGACTGGAAAAATTTGTTTAGAACAAGACTCTTTGTTCCTAATTTACTTAATACTTCCCAGAATAATACTTCTTTTTGAGTTTGATATGTTTTTACATGTAGCTGTCTGGATAGAAATGTGGTTAGTTCAAATCCTAACTATATGTGTACATTAGCTTCTCTCTTATCAAAGCTTACCAAGGCAGATTTTGCTACAATTGTGCAGTGTGGAAAAACATCTCCTAAATCTCAGTTGATAACAATGACCAACGCTTTTTCTCACAGTTCTGTGAGTTGGCTATGGTGTCTCTGCTGGTATATGCCTTCTCATCCTAGCACCGAAGCTGAAGAGGTAGTGCCTTCTTCCCAGGGCATGGTATTATTGTGTCGATGGCTGGAGCGCAAGAAGCCTGGCAGAAACTTTCAATAACTTTTAAAGACTCCCTTTGAACCTGGAACACTATGCCTTCCTCCCACATTCTACCATTCATAGTAAGTCATATGGCCAAATGGCTAAACTGACATTGTTGGGATTTAATAGCATTCTATTCTCATGGGAAAGAAGGAGAAAGTAAATATTTGTTGAATAATAATATAATCTACCATAGTCCACCTGCTTCATCTCAAATATTCATGTACCTTCCCTTTTCAATAAGAATAAACTCATGGCCTTCTTGAGGAGAATACCCCAAAAGGCATTAGATTTGAAGTCTAGTATCTTGTACTAGTATCTACGGCAGGTCCAGATATGGCTCCTCTTGATGCAGACACCTATGAGATAAAAGTTATTTTTATCCTCTTTTGAACACACACACACACACACACACACACACACACACACACACACACACACGATGAAATGAGACCAAGATACAGCAGTAAACAATCCCGTTTGGAAAAGTGAAAAATGGAAGGCATCTAGCAGTCACTGGTCCATAACAATTCTGAATTCTCACCGACAAAATGTCCCCTATGAAAATGCTTCATAAGAAACAATCCCAAATCTTAGAGGTTTACAACCAGAAACAAATGTGTTTTTGCACATTCTGACCTGGTCTGCAGGTTAGCTGTCAACTTTCTCCAGGTAACAAATCAGGTTCAGAACTGCCCCAAATGTCTTACTCAAAGCCCCAGGATGGCAGAGTATAGTGTTTCATCGTGCAAGCAGATTAGTGGAAATGTGTAGTGTCACATGTGCCCATGTTTCATTACGTGAGTCATGTGTCCATGCCTAACATTACTAGTATACTCCTCCCATGGCAGGAGGAGGGCGAGAGAATATTTGCTATACAATAATTGAATCTACCACAGAGGTTGAGATATGTTTTAGAGAATATTTCCTCTTCCAATAGAGCTCAGTGAAAATAATCTTTCCTAATATTGGAAGAGCCCAGTGAGCAGTTCAATGTTTTTCATGTAAATTATTCTGTAAGCACAGAATAAGTTATACTTACCCATTGGATAAACATAAAGGGAAAGTACATAGAAGTACATAAATTCCACTTTGTACAAAGACCTGAATAACATACAGTTCAACAGAGAATTGGAAATCAGTTTGAATTACCAAGAAGAAAAGGCAGAATGATACTGATGTATTTCACATAAACCTTGGCAAATCCAATAAGATAATCCATAATTCTTTCTCTACCTGTACTGCCTTAGGAAAAAGTAGATAATTGCCAGGGAATTTGACTAAGTTTATTTGAGAAGCCAATGTTAGATGTGCACAAAAGAATTTGAGCAGAAAAATTCTGCAGGAAGAATGAAAGAAGTTACAAAATTATAGATTCCATGGTTAGAGGAGTTACATATCTGTCTCAGAATAGTCTGTCTTCCTCAATAAAATTGTCACCATATTTCCAAATAATCAAATACTGGGGTTAGCATCAGAACATCAGAATCTCAACTTGGTTAAAACTATACATTAAACAGAGATTATAATAAATCTTCCAAAGGCTTAGAACAAAGCAGATTGTGAAAAGTTAAAACCAGTGTATATTGTCATCACTTTGAAGGAAAGAAACTTGGCCAGGGCTTGTCCAAACATAACCATGTGGGTGTGAGAGTCATATTCTCTGGCATTACAAATTATAGCACCACACCAGTGCATCCACAGAATACAAATGCTCAGCCTCTATGATACACATATGCTACAATTATGTTACAAAATCAGATTTTACATACTTTTTGGATTGGTCCATTATTTTTTAAGGTTAATTTTGCTTGACGAATTGCTGACTCTAGCTTATATCCACTTTGATGGGTAACAAGATACTTTCAAATCAAGGGAGAGATCATAAGGCTAAAGAAATCACACGTCTGGCTAAGTCCTTCTAGAAAATCACTAATAAATATTGATCTATGAAAAATTTATAAAATCTAAACTGAACTGGTAGTTTAGGCTGGGGAGAGAAGTTTGAATTTACTCTTTAGGAAACTAATTATGATTATTTGCATATCTCTGTTGATTTTACAAAGTCCCAAGTTTAACTAAAAAAAGAAGAAACTTAGTTTTCATCAAGGAAAAATATTCACAATCCTGGTACTGAGTGGGGTCAGACCCTATAAAGAACACATTTTCCACAAAGGTACCTAAACTAGGCATGCTATATGCAGACATACCAAGGATAGCAAAAATGAGAATGGTAAATTGCTTGCAAAAGATAAAAGACACCTTTTGTATGCTCATTTAATATGTTTATTTAGCAGCCAATATGTGCAAAGTACTGTACTATATGTACGTATACATAAATATTATATATAGCAAATATGGAATCTTCCCTCAGGAGCTCACACTTTACAAGTGGAGATAAAACACCTCTCTTGCCCACCTCCCCCCAAATGACTGTAATACAAGGTAAGAAATATGAACATTCAGAAAAAAATTAACCAGTAAAGTACAAGACAAGAACCAGAAAAATTATGTTCCCCAGCTTAAATGAAACCCAGAATGCTGAAAGAAAGGCATTAATCCTAAAATAGGCATAATATCCTAAAAATACAGATAAAATATTAACTTTAAAAAAACGTTATCATAGATGATCAAAAAAGAAGAGTATTGCTAGTAATGTTAATATAGAAAAATTAGAGTGGCAGGAAAAATATTGGAGAGTATAGAGGAAGGGGTTATTTCAATTATTCAAGTACA